CCCCAAAAAAAAAAAAAAAAAAAAAAAGACAATGATTCCACATGTATGAAATGTCCAGGATAGGCAGACACATAGACACAGGAAGTGTCTTGCTTAGGGCTAGAGGGACGAGGGTGTTTTCTTTGAGTGATAGCATACAGGGTTTCTTTTTGAGGTGATGACAATGTTCTAAAATTAATTGTGGTGATGGTTGCACAAATCTTTGAATATATTAGAAAGCATTGAATTGTACACTTTAAATGGGTGAATTGTATAATATGTGAATTATAGCTCAATAAAGCTGTTACCAAAATATACAAGGCAAATGTACAAAACCTGATCTACTGCTTTGTGTTGGGGCCCATTACATTTGGAGGCCTGTTACTATTCATGGGTGTGCCCAGGCAGACAAAATTGTATTGATAAGCCATAAAGAAAAAAATTGAGATATTTGACTACATAAAAATTTTAAACTTTTGGCCAAAAAGAGTAAAGAGTCTACAAAAGAATAACAAACTAGGAAGCAATACTGACAACAAATATAGATAAAGGTGCCAATTTTCTTAATTTGTCAAGAGTGCATATAAATCAATAAATGACAAACAACTGGATATAAAGTGGGGCAAGGGATACAACAGGAAGTTTATAGAAAAAGAAATACATAAAGAAAAGCTCATAATTAAAGAAATGTAAATCAAAGTATCAAGTTAACATTTTTACCTATCAGATTGCCCAAAAGTTTTAATTTTGATGATATTCCATGCTGACAAGGATGAGAAAAGTGGACACGCTCATACATTATGAAGTGTAAATTGCTCTCTGAAGAATGATTTCACAGTATCAAAAGTTAAAAATACACATACCTTTTGATCCAGTAGCATCACCATTAGAACTTCACCCTGTAGCTATACTCACACTTGTACACAAAAATATATATGCAAGAATGTTTATCACAGCATTGTTTTAAGCAGTCCAAAGTGGGAAACAACCAAAGTGACCATCAAAAGGGTAATCCTCCCGTGACTCTGATTCTATATCACCGGAGAAGCATCTGTCCCTGGGCTCCTTTCCATTAGTGCAGATAATCAATTGAGAGCCTACTGTACATTTTCAGTCTAGCCTTCTAGCCAGGGAAGCATGTCAGTTGATAATTAAACCTTTATAAATCAATGCTGACATTTTTGATGGGAGTTTGTGGGTGGAGGGGAGGGGGGATCTGATCAGCAGACCCAGAGAAAAGAGCAAGAATGCTGCAGAGAGGCAAGCAGAGACTGCCCTCATCATAGCTCGCCTTGGGGTCTTGATGTGACTGACTCAAGTACCATCAAGTTGGATTAAGTAGATTCTGGAGCCCCCCTCCTACACTAGATCTGTCCTGCTCCCAGAAACAGTCAAGCTGCCATTGCTGTTTCATGGATGGGTTCCAGGCCCATCCTGTGCTGCCCTCTAGCCTTAAGCCCCTGATACGTCTCTGGAGCTAGAGAGGGGTGACCACAGGCTCTGAGGTTAAGGTGAATTTGAGAGGTCACCCACTGAGAGTGACTGAGGCCTTGGAAAGCAAAAGCTTCCAAACCACAGGGAGAGCTGACAGCGTCCTGGTGTCAAGATGGCTTGAGACCCTCTCACTGAGAAGTCCTATGGTTCCCCACAGTGTACGTTCATTCTCGCTGCAATGAGGAATAAACCTAGCTTGTTCAACAGCAGGTGTGTTGCAGGTGGGCTTTGGCTGAAAGGTATCGACACTTTATTCAAGTCACTCAAACTCTATGAGCCAATATCATAATTCTACCTGAAGATGACAACCCCAGGCCCACACAATGCTCACTAATTACCACACACACATATACACACACATACACAAGTTCCATCTGGAGATCTGGACAGAGCAAAGGGGTAGGGAAATTCAGAAGGCCCTCAGAAATTCAGCGGGAGAACAGGAGAATTCCTTGAGCCAGGGACAATTCACATCACTGGTGAGTCCCTGGGCCATCTTAATAAACATGGCAGCACCCCAGCCCCTGCCACTAAGAAATGCTTCTTAGACACTGGGGAAATAAACTACCTCTGAGCTTTAGAGAAGCCCGTGGAAAAGAAGCCCATTTTCCAAAATGCCAGGCCACAGCAGGCTAACATTGCCCCTGACCCACCACTGTCAGGGGCAGAAGAAGAGAGGGGAATGATAACCAAAGAGAGAAATGTGAACGACAAAGGGAGAACAAAGAAAGAGGGCATCATGGCGGCATCTGCATCCCTGGAGCGCTAATAGAATCATTGGATCTAACTAACTTTTGAGTTTAAACTGTCTCAAATTCTGTCTGGCATACTTACCTTGTATCCCCGACTGCAGGCCCTGAGGACAGTAGAACCATCAGCTGAGCTATCTCCTCTTCCAAACAAACCAACAACCACAACAAAACATATAAACCTCCCCTTGATTCGAAATCCTCTCCCTGTTACCACCCATTTCTCTGCCTCTCTTTAAAGCCAAACTCTGAAAGGTTATCTATACTTACTACCTTTATGTCTTCACTTCTTATTCTTTGGCACTCTCTCCAACTGGCCTTCCAAATCCAACTGCTTCCAAACCGCTCCACTAAAACTGCTCTCGTTCAATCCACCCATCTGTTACTTGACCTCCCAGCAGCATGTGACACTCCCTCTTTTTTGAATAGTGTTATCACTTGCCTTTCTGAACATCACACTCCCTTCATTTTCCTCCTACCTCACTGGCTGTTTCTTCTCAACCTCCCTTGCTGTATCTTTCTCCTTTCCCTGTTTTTGAAATGCTGTAGCATCCGAGGGCTCTACCCTTGGCCCTTTTCTTTATCTACAATCATTTCCTAGACCAGCGCCATTAAATAGAAATGTTAATGTGAACCACAATTGCAAGCCACATAGGTAATTTTAAATTTTCTAGTAGCCACATTCAAAAAAGCAAAAAGAAACGGGTGAAGTTACTTTTAATAATATATTTTACTTAGGTGAGTAGAACCAAAATATTATCATTTCAACATGTAATCATTATAAAAATAATATCAATGAGATATTCTATGTTCTTTTTATCATACTAAGTCTTTGAAATCTGGTTTGTATTTTTCACGTATAGCACATTTCAATTCGGATTTAGCCACGTTTCAACTGCTCGGTAGTCACATGGGGCTAGGGACTACCATATTCTAGATGATCTCATTCACACCTTATGAATACTATCTAGACACTGAACTCCAAAATTTCTATGTCTAGACTGGATCTCATCCCTGAACTCCATATTCCTATAGCCAACTGTCTATCCAACATCTCCACCTAACACTGCATATCAGCTGATTGGGTCCCCTCACACTCATTCCTCCTGGGTTTTATGTGCCCTGGCCCCATGCCCGCGTCCCCCCGACTGACCACCCATCCTGCTACCCTCCTACTTTCTCCCTGTGCTCCAGCCTCACTGGCTTTCTTGCTAATCCCCAACACAGCCAGCCCCTTTCAATCTCAGGGTGTTTGCATTTGCTGCTCCGCCTGCCCAGAGGGTTCTTTCCCCAGCTAGCTGCACGGCTGCCTCTTTTACAGCATTCAAGTCAGCTCAAAGGGTCCCTCCCAGAGTGGACCTCCATGATCATCCTAGTTAAAGCGTCTAGTCTCTCTCCATCACATTATCCTTTACTAACATCTTCGCAGCACTCATCAATGTCTGAAATTATATTTTATATTAATTTAGTTACAGTCTCTTATCTGTCTCCTCTACTAGAACGTAAATTCCATTAGGGCAGGGGCCTTGTCCATTTTGTTCATCACTGGATCCCCCAGCACCTGGAATGGTACCTGGTACATCTGTCAGGCACTTGCTAAATGTTTGTTCAATGAATGCATAGATTCAGCGAAAGAATAAGTAACGTAAGAACCATCTTTGTGGTCAGAAATTTCTTAGAAGTCGAGGCATGCTACAGGACACAAAGGAAGACTTGTCGTGGGCGGCGGGGAAGCGCCTTATTTGCCAGCTTAGCAGGACCTGCCTTCCCTCCCAGCAAGGTGGGCGCCGCTTGTCCTTGTCACAGAGAGCCTACTCCCGGGTGTCCCGGCCACGAGACTCCTGCGTGTGGAGCCCCACTCAGCTGGGCGAGGCCCAGATCCTCCTAGAGGAGGTTTCAGGAACAGACACCACCACTGGCAAAACTTCTTTCCGTTTACCCCAGGCTGACTTATTAACCAGAGCTCTGCTTCCCCAGTATCTCCTCACAGAGGACGAAAGACTGTATTTCTTTCATGTGTCTCATTATGGCTAATAAAAGTTTAAAGCGAATTGGTTCCTTAATTATACCAGGGCTCTTTAATAGCGGCCTTGGCGCTGCCTCCAGGCTGGTCTCTATTTTTATTTATGATATTTAGCAAAATGTCACCTCAGTGGTATCTCAAAAAAAAAGTCACAACGCTCTCTCTAAAATACCAATCTGACCATGAGCTTAGACTAGTTCACCGACATCCTGCTGCCTGCAGGACAAAAGCCAAGTTCTTCACAAAGTTCTCAGCGATCGGGTGCTCCCTGCCCCCCTCCCTT